ATATATATATATATATATATATATATATATAGATATATATATATATATATATATATATATATATATATATAAATATATATATATATATATATATATATATATATACATATATATATATATATATATATATATATATATAAAATATATGTTTCATTAAATAATATAGACAAGTTTTGACAATTTAAGTAAGTTCCATTTCATATTGTCTGATAAACCTAATAACATTATCATTGACAGACGAAAGAAAATCACCATATTGATACATGTTTAATTCCAATCTAAACTTTCGACTTACATAAGCCATTATCAAAGATGACAATTACTTTTCACTATATCAACCAATACACGGAAGAAACAATAATGATAATAATAATACATATACATATATATATATATATATATATATATATATATATATATATATATATATATATATATATATATATATATATATATATACCTACATACATGCGTGGATAAAATATTCGCTTCCTGACAATATGACTCGGGTTCGAATATCACCATGGTCGATTGTCAGGAAGGAATCTTCCTGATGTTATCGGTCTGGAGGAGGAACGATCCCAGCGGCTATATATATATATATATATATATATATATATATATATATATATATTAATAAATAATATTGAATATAGGTAGCTTGGATGCGACTTTTTAGTTCTTTCATAGCCTAATCAGGTTTTGATTTGTTTTCACTGCCAAATTCATGTGGCATTACAAGAATTTAGCTTTATATGTCAGAGCATCCAATGTGATGTTGATTCCTTGTTTTTTTAGACGGAATCTTTGATCGTCTTCAAGGTGGTGATTATAAATTTCATGTCCTAGATAGTTAGATCGTGTTTTTTTTTTAGAGAGAATGATTGGACAAATTTTCAATTTTACTAATTTTATTGTTGGTACTATTTACATTTTTTTGTCTGCGATAATCGACAAGGAATATCAAACCGAACCATTTATTTATTCTACGTGGGTAGACTGTAGTTCTGTTACGGGAGATGTTCCCAAGCAGTCGAACGAGGAACGAAAAGGAAAATGATAGATCGTTTTAGACATGTTCTTTTCTGGATGCTCAGTAGCATATAAAATGTTCTAGTGATGAAATCAAATGAAAATTTATAGAAGCCAGATCTGGTAAGTAGGGAAGATGTGGGAGGACCTCCGATCTGTACGATATGGATTGTTCTTGGGTTTAATTTCTTGCCCTGTTAAGCTAGATACATTTTCTGTTTACTAAAGTAAGACACTTTTGACATAATGCTTCATTTTTGCAATGAAACCGCAGCCTATAATCAATTGTGGCTCGTTCATTTTCCAGTATCCCATATTCTAGCAGTAACAAAGCAAGTAATTCTGTGGATAGAGCCTTTTTGCTATTGCCACTGTTTATTTTTATCATTGTGTGATAACCACTATCCTTTTCTGTCACAAAACCACAGAGACGTCAGTCCAAATAGCCCCGAATACACTCTTCCTTCTCGTCGGCTTCATCCTCACTCTTGACATTATATGCATTCTAAGGCAATACACTAATCCGTAGCCAGCACATCTGGGTTATCCGTAGGTAGTAAATCCGGGTTATTTCATCAAACGTTTTCTGAATGTGTCTTAACTGGTTGTTCTTTGTATCATGGAGCTAAAGGCATCGGCAGGCGCACACCAATAGCTTTTTTTGAAGGTAAATGGATATCTTCTGCAGATTGATTTACAAAACCATATTTTCATTAGCTGGACCAATGCAATGCCTAAATCATCATCATCTTGCGGCCTCAGCCGAGATTGAACTCACCAATACTTTGATTGGTGTAGTCCATAATCTTGTCAAATAGCTGAATTCTTGATGATTCGCTAGGGCTATCAAGGGTGTTTTTATCGTGACACCATCACTAAATGGATTGCCAACCAAGGCTGAGAGAGACTCCATTCACCCTCAAGAGCAGGTTTGAATTCAGATTTTTCCTTCTCCTAGACCAGTTGCCATCCAAAGCTATAGAACCCAGTCTGTCCTGCTATTTACCCATAGCTGGAGGGAGAAGAAAGAGGATTCACAACTTTCCCAAGGGTGTTAGCACGTAAGTGAATGTAATGGATTCGACTGGAATTCGAACTCGGCTCTCCGATTCCTCAATCCAAGCTGCGATCTATTACTCCACCGCGCCTCCTAATGCATAAATAAATGATACGGATTTCCGGTTCAAAGACTGCTGTAGATAGTGGAAATTTGGCTTCGCTTACCAAGTAAAAGCCCGTAACGAATGCAAATTTATTCTTTGGATGTTTTCATAATTAAAATACATGAAAATGCACACTTAATGACAAACTATGATCGCAAAGCTAGTAAACTAATTTTCGACACACGTTGATTCTAGCTTGCTTACTCGATGCATAAATAGGCAAATACGTAATTACTTTCCGAACAGCCTAGTGTATAATATATAAACAATCGTTTCGTACGCATGTATAGACAAGACAACATCAA